GTATGTAGGTACGTATGTGTGTGTGTGTATATATATATATATATTATAGTCTAGCAAAGGCAGTATCAGTACACGCTTACTTGTGCATCTCGAGCAAATTTAGGGTTGGTAGCCTTCCGACAACTAGAAGGAATTCCAATACATGCAGATCCACGGATTTGGGAATTTATGTCCTACCAGATTTGAAACACGATTATCTGGTTGACAGATCCTTCTAAGTACGAGCCCCAGACAGTGTAATCAATGTGCTGGCCACCAAGCGTGGCTGGCAAAGGAACCGACTTTGATCTGATCCTAAAATGCTGCAGTTGCCGGCAGTTTTCGCATGCGCGCTCTGGGGTACACATGCGGACATTTGCACGGAAGATGACACCATGCACATGACAAGGTGCTGCTCAGGCCTATGTGCCGTTTCTACACGGTAGCCCATGACCCCAGGTGTGCTGGGAGCTTTTCCTGCGTTCTTGTTGCAGGGGACTTTCGGCTCTTTGGAGGCTAGCATTTCCCTCAATCATGGCCAATTTCATCAACAGAGCAATGCAGCTACTGTCTGCCCTGGGTAGTACTAGGGAGACCCCTTAAAGGGGACCCTTCTTAATCTTACTTATGGCTCTCTTGAACGGGACCATGTCCAGAGGGTCTTTATCCGCAAGGGTCCCCCTAATCCTAATTTTAACTCCCAGCACTAAATTCCCGCGATCTCCGGACGATCGGGTGGAGGGTCGCTACATGCCTAGCTCAAACGCCATGCAACCCTCCTAAACGCTAAATTGCCATCCTAAACCCCAAACCCCTAGCACCCTAAACCCCTAACATCCCCTAAACCCTAAACCGCCCTCAACAAACCCTGAATAACCATCCTAAACCCTAAATCCCTAACACCCCTAAACCACCCGAAACAAAGCCTAAACCGACAAGGAATGCCCTGGATTGCGTGAAGTCCATCCTGGAGTCCTCCGAGGTTCCCCGCTTCCCCATGGTGCCTTCAGTGCTTTTGTTATTATTATTATTATTATTATTATTATAATATATATATATATATAATATATATATATATATATATATATATATTATTCGACATATCGATATATGCCGTATATTATACACGCGATATTTCGCTCACGCGGGTACTTCCGTCGTATAT